ACAGGTCTTCACTTGTGTTTCATGATTTAACAATAACTAACAGGTCTTCACTTTTGTTTCATGATTTAACAATAACTAACAGGTCTTCACTTGTGTTTCATGATTTAACAATAACTATCAGGTCTTCACTTTTGCTTCATGATTTAAAACTGGTTAAATTTGTGTTACTCTTTACAAAGTTATAAAGGTTAAGTTCATGCTATGAGTGTGAATGTTTAACATCGACTGGGAATTGTGAAACTGGTTACATTTGTGTTACACTTTACAAAGTTGTAAATGTTAAGTTCATGCTATGAGTGTGGATGTTTAACATCGACTGGGAATTGTGAAACTGGTTACATTTGTGTTACACTTTATAAAGTTGTAAAGGTTAAGTTCATGCTATGAGTGTGGATGTTTAACATCGACTGGGAATTGTGAAACTGGTTACATTTGTGTTACACTTTACAAAGTTGTAAATGTTAAGTTCATGCTATGAGTGTGGATGTTTAACATCGACTGGGAATAGTGAAACTGGTTACATTTGTGTTACACTTTACAAAGTTGTAAAGGTTAAGTTCATGCTATGAGTGTGAATGTTTAACATCGACTGGGAATTGTGAAACTGGTTACATTTGTGTTACACTTTACAAAGTTGTAAATGTTAAGTTCATGCTATGAGTGTGGATGTTTAACATCGACTGGGAATTGTGAAACTGGTTACATTTGTGTTACACTTTATAAAGTTGTAAAGGTTAAGTTCATGCTATGAGTGTGGATGTTTAACATCGACTGGGAATAGTGAAACTGGTTACATTTGTGTTACACTTTACAAAGTTGTAAAGTTTAAGTTATTAATCTAAATGTTTGTGTATAATGACATATTTATCAATAGTATAATATACGTATATTACAAGTTGTAAAAGTTAAGTGTGATCCAACACAAAACACTCTTTACCTTCGTTTACTGAAGTAATTGATTTTCTCTGTTCTCCTTGTTATTTTACTTCCGTACTCTTCACAAGCTTTGTTCTCCTTTTTTTGTTGCCTTCTTTCCACAGGCCCGACATGGCCAGGTGGTTAAGGCGCTCGACTCGCAATCTGAGGGTCGCGGGTTCGAATCCCCGTCACACCAAACATGCTCGCCCTTTAAACCGTGGGAGCGTTATAATGTGACGGTCAATCGTTGGTAAAAGAGTAGCCCAAGAGTTGGCGGTGGGTGGTGATGACTAGCTGCCTTCCACTACTAAATTAGGGACGGCTAGCGCAGATAGCCCTCGTGTAGCTTTGCGCGAAACTCAAAAACAAATTCTTTCCACAGTTTCCTCATTCCCTTATAAAATATTATGAATTCTTCACTCGTGATATTCGAAAGCACTCAGGATCAATAGGAGAAAGTTAGAATCTGAAAATAAACCAGATATTCCGAGCATTTTTGCTGTCCGAAAACAGGATTATTTTCACCTATCCTTTTTTTTTGTTGTATTTGTAAGTATTATATTTTCTATTTGTCATAGCCTAATTGTTTACCCAATTTTCACACCCAGTTATTAACTTTGTCACCTATGGTCTTACTAGTATTTATATCCGTAGTTCTTTCCTCTTTATCTGCTCCTTTTATCCGATTTTTAAAGTTTTTTCTCCATATTCACAGCTTCCCTATTTCGTTCATTATGAGTTCTTTAAGATAGATTAGCTCCCCCTTTTAGTTTTGTAATTTCAAAAAATTCCATTAAATCTTGCTTCATATTTTTCAACCGTATGTTGCTGTATATAAAACAGATGTTTCGTTTCACACATTAATTTTTCCATTACTTCTTTCTATCCTCTATACAGCATCTTGACATTCTTCTTTTCTCTCTCTCTCTCTCTCTGAAGTGTGATCTCACACATTTAGTTTAAGATAATACAGATGTGTTGAAAAGCTTCAAATCGTAAAAGGAGGGCGTATAAAACCAAATGAACAGTACGCAAGCTAATTAGTCTGTTGTTGTTGAGGGAGTTTAACCTATCCTAACTTAGCTACACAAGGCTAGCTGCAGTTTGTTAGCTGAGGGAATCGGGCGCAGGATTTTAGTGTTATAAACATTGAAGCTTCTTGCTGAGAACCATTGAACAGTTTTATTTATGTATTTTTATAATACAATTTATATGCCCCCCAGTGGCTCAGCGGTATGTCTGACGTTAAAAACTGGCTTTCAATACTCGTGGCGGGCTCAGCAAAGATAGCCCATTGTTTACCTATGTACTTAAAAACGAACAAAAATAACTTAGATAAATTTGGTATAACAGAAGGTACATTAGTAGCTCAGTATATGTCTAGGTTTTCTACAAGTTTGTTCATTTTAAATGGTACAGAGCCAGGTATGTTCAGGTGGTTTAACATAACGTCAAATTTATTGGTCCAGCTCGGCTATCACATCCTTTAAACTAAACCAAAACTATTAAATAGATAAATTAAATATATATGTAATTAAAGCTAGCCCTTATCATTCATATAGTTATCAAACTCACTTAAATTTACTGTTTCTACAACATCCGAAAGCAACCCATTCCACCCTTTTAGAAAAATAGAACTGTCTTGGCTAAAGATGACTCCTACCTTGCCAAAATTTATATTTGTGTCCCCTAGTCCTACTATTATCACTGTTAAATATAAAAAAAAGATGATACATCAACACTATCAATTACCTTTACAGTCTTAAACACCTCAATTAGTTCCCCATAACTCTTTTTAAACACCTCAATCAGATCCCCTGTAACTCTTCTTTTTTCAAAAGAAAACAATTTATTAATTTTTCCTCATATGACAACCCCTCCATCCAAGGTAACATGCTAATAACCCTTCTCTGAACCCTTTCCAACAATTCAGTGTCCTTCCTAAGGTAAGGAGCCC